TCGACAAAGTTAAGACGATTGCACATACCAGTTTTTTACCTCTATCGCGGATGTAGTGTAATTGAAATATTATTATAAACTCTGCTTCTTCCTGAAAAACCCTAAGGGACTGAATAAAGAATGTAGTATTAGAAATATAATAGCCCTAATACTAATGTCTTATGACAATTGTAATTAACTATAATAATGCTTCGTTTGTTTGTTTGTATGTTTTTGAATTTCGCGCAAAGTTACACAAGGACTATCTTCGCTAGCCGTCCCTAATTTAGCATTGTAAGAAAAGAGGGAAGGCAGCTAGTCCTCACCACCCACCGCCAACTCTTGGGCTACTCTTTTACCAACGAATAGTGGGAATGACAGTCACATTATAACGCCCCCACAACTGAAAGGGCGAGCATGTGTGGTGAGATGGGGATTCGAACCCGCGACCCTCAGATTGCGAGTCGAGTGCCCCAACCACCTGGCGATGCTGTTGTAAGAGATTGACGGAGTTTCAATACTTTAAATTTAAGTGAAAATGAACTGGCAACACCTAAACATAGAACTATATATATATATATATACCCTGCTAGATTTAGCTAGATATATTATACATATAGTTTTTTTTTTCTAGGCCATTTTGTTGTATATTTTCAAATACTAGCCTACTAAGAACCACATGTCCACATAGATCCAATGATCAAAAATATTTGTATGCTAAACCCAATAATTTATACTAAAATAAAGATATTAATCTTAAAATATTATATGACACTAAAAGCTAGCCAGGGAGATAAAATGAGGTGCGAAGAGATCAGACATTAAAAAACACAATGGAAAAGAGCGGGTTAAATAAATAAATCGCTGGACACAAATGGAAATAATGACTTAAATAATTAAATCGCTGGACACAAATGGAAAGACGTAAAAACTGTTTTAGAAATCCAATAGAGAAAAGTATCCAATTTACTTTAAACTAATAAATAAAAATAGAAAAATAGTGATTTCCTGTCGTTACTGTGAGGATTTAGTTTTTATAAAACTGCCATTAGTATATCTGCTGTACTTCAAATGCATATAATATGTGCCAAGCCGTAACCCACAACTGCTTCCACTTTAATGGTCGTTCTTGAACTTATTGTTACGTCTCCATTTGTTAATTAACTTTCCGTCCTTACTTAATAAAACTGGTTTATTCTTTCTGAATATAACTTTACGATACACTTGATTTCAACATTCGCGCTAAAACAAACGCTATAACGAACTTCAACAATACTCACTGACTGCAGATCAATTACTCACTACCTACACACACACTGTCCCGTCACGCCGTGACCATCTTATATATATCAGTCCATCCCCCAATCTAATAAATGCTAGAGCACTCCCGAAGGAACGGGATAGTTCTAGAAACGTGGCGTGACACTAGTCACGTGAATCGCTGACGCAACACTGCCCCCTCCTTAGTATTGTTCATCCCGAACAATAACCGCATACAATATACCAATAACACTAATTTAATTAAAATGTAC